GTAAACTGAATCGTCCGCAGTTAGACAGAGTAAAATAAATCTGGGGTTAGACAGGGCTCACTAGGAGCACTAGGGCACAATGTAACTTAGGCCCGGTTTACACTATACCGGATTGCTATCGGAGTGGGTCAAATTTTGTAGATATCGAAAGGCTGTGAAGATTTTTAATCTGTCCGCAGTTAGACAGAGTAAAATAAATCTGGGGTTAGATAGGGCTCACTAGGAGCACTAGGGCACAATGTAACGTAGGCCCGGTTTACACTATACCGGATTGCTATCGGAGTGGGTCAAATTTTGTAGATATCGAAAGGCTGTGAAGATTTTTAATCACAGAGAGCCAAATAAACATGCCAATTCTGTCAAACTAATAAGCATTTGCTACTAACCATTGCTCCGTAACGGCAAAAGATGTCGTGACGAGCGAATCCGGTATAGCGTAAACAGGGCCTATAGTTTCCAAACTTCATATTATAAATTGCTCGTTTGTAACATTTAGGAATTCTACCAACGGAATTTATAATTTAAAGTCAATCAGTACAGGCAAATACTACGATGTATACTGTCACATGAACGACATTGGAACATGTGGAGGGGGAGGCTGGACACTAGTGATGAAATTGGACGGGAATAAGGTAAAGAAGGGATTACAGGGATTGGTATTCAGTGACAAAAATATAATGAATAGTTGTTAACACTTAACACGGCAACAATAACACTACAAAAATGGTTACATACAGTCATTTCAAGTGTAGAAGTGAAAACGTGGGTAAAAAAATAAATATTACGAATTGAAAACAAGAGTGATTTTAACTTAATATTATCTTTTGATAAATGCTCAATGATCGATGCGGTGCCTGTTTACCCATGGTGACTAACATATATAAAAATTATAAAAAATGCCATGTCGCAACATATATACGGCTGCAGAAGGCATGTTATTGTCGAAATGGTATAAAAAATTCGGCATGGCTTTTTATGACATTCGGCAGTTTTGTTCATAATTTGTCTTAAATCCGTCTGACCGTGTAGCTCAGTTGGTATAGAGCGTCGATCTAGTAATTCGAAGGTCGCGCTGGGTATGGAAATTATGAAATACACACTCGAGAACATTTTCAATATATATATATATATATATATATATATATATATATATATATATATATATATATATATATATATATATATATATATATATATCGGGTGTCCCAAAAAAAATACTCCGGTTTGATTTATAATAACTTCTAAAGAAGTAAAGCTATCAAACAGAAATAACTTGCATTAAATAGAGGAAGGACTGACTTAGATTTTTGATATATTACAGTTGTATTTTACTTAACAATTCGCGGAGATATTAATGTTCAAAATAGGGAGCATATTTTGGGATGTGTCTAAAATTAGCGAAAATCAGCATATATATCAAATATTAACTCCAGCGTTTGTTTGCTTAATGACATATCAGGCTACCTGTATTTCAGCAAATTGTCGTTAAATTAGGGTTTGTAAGGGGTATGGCATAGATTTAGACATCTTAACATGCATGCATGTAAGTCTTAGCTCATTGTTTTCTAAAATATGAACGTTCGAAATTATGCAAGTATTTAATAGGTCTTTACAAACTTAAAGGTACATGAAAGACCATGCAAGACAGGCGCATAAATTTTTCTTAAATAGCCTAATTTTTTATGTTTTTCATGGGTTCAAAACAGAGTTGATTATTTCTTGGTTAGAGCAGAATGAATATTATTCTTTAATGAAGGAAATAATATAGCTTTTTGCAAATACACATCTCAGTATCAATAACGCTACTATTTTGTTACGTTTTGTTCCAAAAATGTTGGATGTCTCTGGGGAGTTGCTTGTTATGTCTTATGGAGTTGTATGGTTTGATTGTGTTTCATTCTCAGTTTATTATGAACTTAACAAGATTAAGAAAAGGTAAAAGAGTTTGGGTGTTCTTAACAAGATTTCAGAACGTTACAGAAGTTAGAAGAGCTTCACAATTTAATGTGACAGCATGCCCTAATTCCGAATAACACACGTTGTCTTTGGAAGACTATTCGATCATGCATCCCTAACAAATCAACATGTCAAAGATCGTTTACTATAAAGGATGATATTTTAGTTGCAAACGAGTTTAACACTTTCTTTTCTTCTATTGGACAAACAACTATAGAGAAAATCAAGTCGCTTGCGGATGAATGTAAATATGACCTAACGAAATCGGTTTTTATACCTCGGACATACGCTGAATCTGAACAATTCGTTTTTCAGACGGTTGAATGTAAACAAGTTCATGATATTATAAACTCCATGCCCACAAATAAGTCTCCTGGGATTGATAAGATTCCAATGCGAGTTATCAAAGACAGTCTGCCAACAGGTGGGAAATTTGTCTGAGCATGCGCGAGCAAAATGAGTCACGCAATTGAGTGGAATACACGCAACGCGTGTTTACAAAAAGGCAAAAAAGTGTAAATATTGCCAAATGTTTGTACAAAATAAATGACTGTTTTATGTTGAAAATGGACATGATATAAATTAATCATACATAATTTTTTGGTGACGTTCTATTTCAGTACCCTGCCATTGTCTCTGGTGGGCTGTCTGTGTGCATTCGATCTGAAACAGTTGCTACTTTGCTGTCGAAAAATTTCGAATGTTTACATGGAGGCAAGTAATGCATTTTACAACCTCGTAAACTGTATGAGCCCCTATTTTTACGCTTATACCTAAGATATCAAATGAAAATACATGAAACAGAGAACATTTTTAGAAAGTTTTATTGTGAGGCCACGGCCAGTTTTTAAAATATCTTTATTTCTGTCCCGGTCATCACCAAAATTACACTAAAGCCGGGCTTGAATATACAACAAATTTTGAATCTCATCAAGTACAAAAATATTTAACGTGTAACCAAAATATGCTCATGAAATCGAAATTAATAGCTAAATTTTCAAACTAGACCCTTCTCGAGCCGGTTTTCATGAAGGAAGTTCACATTTCGGCCTTTGATTCTCGGCAAAAATTTGACCACAACACGTGCGAAGCAAATGGGTCTCAAAGACTCAGCTAAAACATTGCGAGCCCCTATTTTCCTGACGATATGTTTGATCATGGGCGTACCGGAAGGAAAAAATTAGGGGGGCGGAAAGAAATTTGCCAGACTTTTCGCGATTGTTCCCCACTAGTACCTAAAAAAATTTTTCCGGAAAAATTATTTCGGCGAAATATATATATATATATATATATATATATATATATATATATATATATATATATATATATATATATATATATATATATATATATATATATATATATATATATATACTATATATATATATATATATATATATATATATATATATATATATATATATATATATATATATATATATATATATATATATATATATATATATGGTGACAACAAATCAGTTTTAAATTTTTTATGTTACTTGTGAAACAGAAAAACTACTAGACATTTATGAGTAGTTTCATCGAGATATTCGAGTAGTTTCAATCCTAAAATTGGATTGTTCTAAACAAGTACTTCATTTGTTTTTGCCTTAATTAGAACACATTTACTTATGACTCAGCCCTTTGGAAAAACGAGAGGACATACGCCAAACAAGATGGACTGGAAGGAATATCAGAAAAGGAAAGCAAGTTGGCTTCATATTGCAACACTCCGTTTACAAAAATTTGCCTGGGTATGTCACGCAATGGAGAGAGAAAATGGATGACATTGAACTACGCCGCAAGTTCGCTGTACAGCGTGATCGCAGATGGACAATTCAGAGCCACGACCGCTGGCAGGGCTACATGGAAATCCCTCATCGCAGGATCATCATTACAATACCAATGCAACAGAGAGGGATTTAATGTGAAGTTCAATGGCAATTCCGCCATGCGAATTGGAATCGTTGCTAATAATGAGGTCAACTGTGGTACATGCGATTCATGGCTTGGCTTTAGCACAGCATATGTTAATGATGGCGGTGCATGGACCAATAGAATGGTTTGCGGTAACAAAGCGGGCTGCTGTAGTCCCGATAACGGAAGTAAAACATTGGTCTCATTCGGATATATTCTTGTTCAATAATTTGTTTACAATCAACGACATCTTGGTTTCCTTGATAGGTTTACTTTGAGAGCGCACATTTTTCCTGTTCAGAAGAAAATGCTACAAGTATGCACCGGTTATACATCTTATGAACCTGTTTAAATGCATGTAATACAATGTCTATAGAGCTGGCTTGTAATGAATTTTTCTTTTAGGGCTATACAGTTGGCCTTAGGCTTATAGATATGTAATGTCGTCGAGATGAGTTATGTATAAAATAAAGGACATTGGCAGAAAAATTAGTTTGACTCATTTGAAAGAGCTGCATGTCATTAGAGAATATATAATAAAGAGTCTTTACAGTCTTCATACTGGCCGGCATCTTGGATTATTATAAGGAACTGATGTACACGTTATATCAAAAGTGTATATACACGTAAAGTTGTAACAAACCGGCAGCAGCCTGTAGCAATGTTGTTCCAACAACTTGTGAACATGATGTGTTTGCACTCTTGTTCCCAGCTTGACTGCACTCTATCCTTCTATAACTATGACTTGCGACGGGCTATCTTTAAAAGGGGGGAACGGGGAATGTCGGAGAATGTCATATTCCCCTATTTAAAGATCTTTAAGCAACATAATTAACTCCGCAAGGAACCTTTTATACACGTGCAATCTTTCACATGTATTAGGATGTTAGGGTTTGTAATCCAAGTGAGAATATTCAATTCCTACCAGAGGACCTTGTGCTGCATTTTTCGCAGTCGTTCCTGGTTAGTTCTTAAAATGTATATATTCTCACTTGGATTACAAACCCTAACATCCTAATATTAATTCCACCAAGTGAAGTGCAATAATCTAAGTCATTCAAGTCCACCTTATCACAACCCGCACACCCGATTACCTATATGTACATGAACTTACGGTTACAGCTCAACAGCTGGCCTCTGTATAGCTCAGTTGGTTAGAGCGCTGCACCGGAATCGCAGAGCCGTAGGTTCAATTCCTACCAGAGGACCTTGTGCTGCATTTTTCGCAGTCGTTCCTGGTTAGTTCTTAAAATGTATATATATATATATACTCACTTGGATTACAAACCCTAACATCCTAATATTAATTCCACCAAGTGAAGTGCAATAATCTAAGTCATTCAAATCTTTCACATGTGCCTGAGTACCTTAACAGTATAATCTTGGGCGTCAAATACCAGTGTGTGTGCGCGAATGTTTATACTGACATGCACATGACAATAATTTTGATCCTAAAAGGTTCTTGAAGGCATTCAGAGGTTCTAAGGCATTTGATACGGTAAACCATGATATTCTGTTTGATAAACTTGGGCATTGTGGCATCCGAGGAGTGGCAGCGCTCTTACACGGATGAAAAGTTATACCTTTCAAATCGATTGCAATTTGTTCAATGTACTAACACATGTTCCTCTCATAAATTTATTCAATGTGGAGTGCCTCAAGCTCTACCCTTGGTCCACTCCTTTTTCTCCTTTAATCAAAAACCTATAGGCAATGTTTCTAATATTTTAGAATTGATTTTGTTTGCTGATGATACGAATATAGTTAATTGCGAGATTGAAAGGTACTTTACACACAACGATTAGTCGGGCCGATTTCAGGTTTAATTAAATGATATTTGAAAAATACGCTGTCAACGTCATCAGACGGCGTCGTCAACTGGCAACATTCATCACTAACATTCGTCAAAACCTGAAATCGGCCCGATTAATCGCAGCGTGTATAATTTAAAAAACGACTCATCTGATAAGTACATTTGCGAAGTAATTTTTAATTTTAAGGACATTGGCAACGAGAATTTTTATAGGCTATTTCAATCCTACTTGACAACCGAACTATGAAAATATGATCATTTCCTTCTTGAACATTTTAGTCTACGAGTAAAATGCATGCAAATTTTGTGTTTCGGCCAGTTTCTCCGCCATCTTGGAAAATATTTTTGAAAAATTATCTCGAAGGTCAATGAACTTTGTGACGTCATTGGCTGGGTAGCACCAAAACTACAAGAGAGAATTCTATTGCGTGCGTGTTATGTTAGCTAAAAATATGTCGTTTTGAGCGTTATACTGGCCAACACTCTTCGCAATCAAACAAGAGAAGTCTACACTATCAGATAAAAACATATCGAGCGACTGGGAAAGCAAGAAATGGCGCAATTTACAATGCAGGTAATTGATCATAAAATATTGCATTAGTATTTGCCTTGTTACACTCGAATTTCTGCGCTTATTTAACACGGAGTAGGATATATACTATGAGAAATAGTGTTACAAACAAGTTACATACTTGGTAAAACTTTTCTGCCTTTTGTTTTGGCTCAAAATGCACTACGCGTGGTAATACACGGTATTGTTTATAGTCATGAGATTGTGTTTACCCAGCCAATGACGTCAGATGTTTTTGTGGCATAAATTAGCATACGCGCTTATTTTCAAAATGGCGGACAACTGTTCAAATTTTCTCAAATTCAATCAAATTTTCTCAGCAACTAAACGCGACAAACCGGCCAAAATATGAAATTAAATATTCCGTAAGTATATCTAATAGATATAAGTAATAAAAATTTTGGTTGCCAATGTCCTTTAACTTTAAGCTAAAGTTTATGTAAATTAACTGACATAGATTTTTTATCACATATATAAAACCACCGATATACGGCACTGGCAGTGATTTCCTTTGCCTTTTCTCATGAATTATTAATAAGTTTTTTAAATAGTATATCAAATTTGTGCAATAATCATTTTTGCGGAATGGAAGAATGTCATTTTTTAAAGATTTTATTTACACATTGGATGCGGCACAATTTTTCTCGTTTTGCAATTGTGTTAAATTAAATTAAAATGAAAATTTTCTTTAAGACTGTTTTGTATATTTAAAGGTAAGAGAAATGAAATTCAAGTCTGTTTGGAGAGAAAGAATTCGTTACACTGTGAAATAAGTTGACCCAGCTTGTGACGTCATTTGAGAACCAAAGAAAGATATAAAAATCCTGTAAAATGCCTTATTAATGAGTTCTTTCAATCTAAACGTACGTATACTTTACTTACATTTTGTTGCTAAACCGTTTAAGATATGCTGTCTTATGCCCTGGGCAAACTAGGAAACATTGTTGTGGAAACATTTGTGATTCTCGAGGATTCATCAAATGTTTCCCTAATTGCCCACCCGTGGAAATATTGTTGTGGAAATAAAATTTGCTTCCCGAGAAGCAAAAATGTTTCCTAGCAAATTCAGAAACATTTGATGTTTCCCTATGTTTCTCACTAATGTTTCCTAGTGTTTGCCCACTCTGGGAAACATGGCGAAACATTGGCAGGAAATAATGTTTCCGCAACAATGTTTCCCAAGTCGTGTTTACACTACCAGCCTTGGCCTGGCCTTGGCTTACATTTTGACAGTGTAAACAGACCTTGGCCTAGCCTTGGCCTGATCTAGGTCAGGAAATCTGGGCTCACTACAACCGGTGGCCTAGGCTTGTGGAAATGTAAATACTTTCGGCCCTGGCCTGGGCCTTATTTTTATGGCAACGTGTGCCCACAGTGAGAGATTAGCGGACAACCAGCGGACAACGTCACAACAAATAAAAATACACAAAATTAATTACAAAATTCTAGGCCAAAGTGAGCCAGTCTCAAAAAAAAACCAGTGTAATGGTGTAAATGCCCCACATTTACCTTTGCGAAGGCTAGGCCAAGGCTTGTAGTGTAAACACGACTCTAGTTTAACGTTTGCCCAGGGCTTTAGGTTCATGTTTAAATTATATCAGAATTATATTCTGCACTGCATATGGATGTCCACTATTCTTTGCTTGTACATGACGTCACTACGTGTCATTAGGCGCCATCTTGGTTGATTTTAAAGTTTTGTCCAGCCGTTTACATCGAAATAGTTGAGTTATACTTTAATATTTTTGGTTTCTTTTTAAAACATCTTACTGTATTATGGGATAGTTTACGATTTCTGGCACAATACGACAAAGAATGAAGAATATAGATTTTTAGTTGCCACGTATGTTTTGAAAATCAACCAAGATGGCGTAGATTGCAAACAAGCAATGCTCGTGTAATATCCTATACTTACTACACTAAGTTAAAAGTTACTGTTTGAGGAAGCATGCTACATTATTTTCCGCTCCGAACTCTGCATGTATGCAATGATAAAAGACAAAATTATCTGCACTGTGTAACGTTGTCACTTCGTATTTTTTGTTGTGACGAAAGACTTTCCGAAATTTGCCCGCTTTGGAATTCAATAACTTGTTAATTTGGCATTAAGTTTAAGATGGCCAAACCTTCGCCGTAACTTTGCATTTGTAAAACTGGCACGCAATCGTCAAAGAGATTAAAACAAAGACAATAAAGTAACTCACCGTTTATCATATTTGCTAATTTGGACTTCAATGTTCTGCTCGTTTTGAGTACCTCGCAACTTTCCTGTTGTAAATGTCATCCCCCATGCAACCATATAGCCAGGATTCCTCTTGTGTACACGATGTAACAGAGCTGAGAAGTATTTAACTTTCGACCGTACTAGTGACTTACACACATATCACATTTGCAGGCACCGTCCATATAAAACCAGATTGCTAGTGTATTCTAGCTATAGTCTTCTTAGCTACTTTTCCAATCCTATGGACTATATACTTATCTAATTTCTAAGTCGTTTTACCTTTTAATTAGAATTTTCATGTACAATTTATGCAGTTCTAATATGCTTGTACGATTGTTGTAAACACTCGAACTAACGAAGTTTGAATGTTAACAACAAAAGGGTGATTTCTAAAGGGTCACTTTTATTATACAAGGTGTCCCCCAAAAAACGCAAAACCATTGAAATAACGTATTGTTAAATTTGAATGCCCTAGCACTAAGCTGAACGCAAAGATGCGTAAAATATTGACAAGGTGCATATACTGTACAGGGTGTCTCAAAAAACCGCTACCCTTGGAAATTCACCATTGTTCTAATTTGAATGCCTGCATGAGTGCTATCTTGAACTCATGGGCGCATGAACAATTTGAATGGACAATAAGACAATAAATACTCTTTGCTCTGTGCTCAGTTGAGCCATTTGCTTGACATTCACTAAAGCCTGCCGCACACGAGAGCTATCTGCTGAGCAAAAAGTTACTCGTGCCTGTTAGCTCAGCTGATAGCTCACCGATCAAACATGTTTGATACGTGAGAAAAGGTTGCATGAGGAAAAAAACTCAGTAAAATGTACCCGCACACGGTGAGCTATCGGCTGAGCTAACAGGCACGAGTAACTTTTTGCTGAGCAGATAGCTCTCGTGTGCGGCAGGCTTAATATGTAATTGAACGATTTTCGTGCAGTTATACTTTTGTATGAACCTACTTTCAATTGCCAGGATAAACAATTTCGCTTTTCAAGGATATTTTAATTCCGAAGATCTTTAATATATGCATCCTGTGAAAATGTTTACGCATTCATGGCTTCAACAACGTTCAGGCATTCAAATTAGAACAATGGTGAATTTCTAAGGGTAGCGGTTTTTTTGAGACACCCTGTATTAAATACTGACTTACAAAGAACTTAAAATATCTTTGTAAAGCGCACGACTTTCTGCTCTTGGGAATTTGAAACAGCTTCTTAAATTTTCTTTATGCATAAAATTTACTTACGTCAAGCTTTGATGCACGTGTGGGTTCAGAAGAGTGCTGAGGCATTCAAACTCTAACAATACGTTATTTTCATAGTTTTCGTTTTTTGGGACACCCTGTACACCCTGTACATATATTTAAATAACTTCGTCATGCATAAAATTCAAATGTGTTTTACGCACTCAGCATACTGCTACATGCTCAGCATACTGCTACATGCTTAAATAAATTCCAATAATAGCTTGATTTCTAAAGGTTTCGCTTTTTAAACACAGTGTGTATAAAAAAACTGAACCCTTTCAAATTCAAATTAGCTATAGCGTATTGTAGTAATTTGACAGCTCTAATTGCTTTGAATTAATGGTTGGGTAAGAAGAACACAAGGTCTTGTACTCATGGGACAAAACTCTTAAAAACTTTTAAATTTTCTAATTTTTATTTCTTTGAGTTTCGTCCCATGAGTACAAGACCTTGTGTTCTTACCCAACATTAATTCAAAGCAATTAGACCAGTCAAATTACTACAATACGTTATAGCTAATTTGAATTTGAAAGGGTTCAGTTTTTTTTATACACACTGTGTTTAAAAAGCGAAACCTTTAGAAATCAAGCTATTATTGGAATTTATTTAAGCATGTAGCAGTATGCTGAGCATGTAGCAGTATGCTGAGTGCGTAAAACATATTTGAATTTTATGCATGACGAAGTTATTTAAATATATAGCTTTTAGCTATTGAATGACAGTCATGTTTTTCATGGAGAAAAAGTAAGCAAGTACGAGTCCGATAAAAGATGTTAATCAGAATCGCATATTTTCACCTCGGCGTCTAATTAAAACAGTGCATAACAGAAGAAAAAAATCATGAACTTGTTCTACTTATAGCTAAGATTTATTCCTACTTGATAATAATAATGACTATGTGCGTAGTTTATTGAAGACAAATTCATCAACTTAAGTCCCATGCAAAGGAATGCAAAGGGGGTTAATTTTCAATGGTTTTAGACTCAACGGTAAAAAAATATGCGATTCTGACTAACATTTTTTATCAGATCCGTATTTCCTCACTTTTTTTATCAATTTGGCATGAAGAACATATCAATCAACAGCTAAAAGTCTGATCTTTACGAATATGAAAATATACCCAGAGTAATTCAGATATAATAGCGCGCTGAAGTTGCCTTTTTTGATACACACTGTAATGTGGTCATGCAGTTAAACCACTTTAATTCGAATTGTGGTGACTAATTAGCAATTTGACAATTCTTTATGCGGTTATGCTCCTTCATATACGATTAGAAGCATATAATTCCAAGGAGCATAAAATCTGGTGCTTATTAAAAACAATAGCTTGATTTCTATAAAGGTCTCGCTTTATTTATATAGCCTGTACAAGTGTATAAAAAAGGTAAATCCAACTTTGACAGGTTATCGTGCATGTGTTAATTATGATATATTCGACAGCTAAAAGCCTGATCTTTATTGGTAAGAAAAAAGTAAATGGTTAAACGTAGCCTAATATACAGGGTGTATAAAAAAAACGCAACCTCGGAATTTCCTGAGAAATCACTTAAGCATAAAAGATTTTAGGCCCCTGGGAATTGAAATCGAATTGCTAATAGATGATATTAGTGTTGTTGTGCATTAAATAAATGCATAAATTTTACTTTATGCACTCGCGTGTGCAGTAATTTTGACAGTTGTGCTATTTTAAATTCCCAGGCGCCTAAAATCTTTTGTCTTTAAAACAATGTCGATTTCTTGGGAAATTCCAAGGTTGCGTTTTTTTTTATACACCCTGTATAATTACAACATGCCAAAGTTGAATTACCTTTTTTATATATACACCCTTTGTTTTTAGGGAAACAGTCATGAATTCCAAACAAGAAGATACAAACAATTATAGCACATGCAGATTTCAGTGTATCCCTTACTATGTGACACGTTTTCATATCACAAGTTTTATTTGCTTGTCTGCAGGCAACATTGGCAATTTTTACTATGGCAAGTAGATTTGTTCAAAATTTAGTACGGTAGCTTTTCGTCTGTCAACACATGGTTCAACAAAGAAAATCTGGCAAAGTAATTGCAGCACTTGCATGCGCGGTTGGTCAGCATCCATGTTTCATGAACAACTAAGAAGATTTGCTATCTTGCCATAGAAAACTTGCTCGTATGAAACTGGCTTAAATTTCTCAAACTATTCCATACTTTTTATTTAAAAAGCCTAAAATTAATAGGATAGCATTTTTTCATTTTCACGAGCGAACTGTATATTTGATGTCATAAGCAGGGTAAAAATTATAAAATGCTGAACAATTCTTACAGTATTGAACTAAACCATACAAAACCAAATAAACTTTCAGAAAAATACCTAATCATGAGAAAATGAAACAAAGAAATATCATCTATTGTATAGATTTAGATACGCGCAGTTTTGGCAAGTCGTTTTCCAAATTGTGCTGAAATACATTTGAAAAAGCAGTCGGTAACTTTTGACAATCCGACGGTAAATTTTGGCGGTCTTAGAAATGTACCAAGTTCGTTTCTCCCCACTTTTCTCTCATATTTTGGCGCCTTTTTCAACCGCTATTTTCAACCCATTGAGAGATGGACTTGAACCAAGTTTACTGCATGAAGAGAAAGCTTATAGAAAGGTTAACAATATAAGAAGTAAATTTATTGAAAATAGCAAGTTTATACGTGCCCATAGGCATTATAAACTTAAGTTAATGAAACAAGCGTTCGGATATAACCAAAGTTGTGCAAAGTCCTTTGATTTGACCAGGTTAGGCACAAAGGTCAGTCTTAAAACGCGTGATCACTCACGTGCAAAGCACTCGGTAAATAACAATGAACCACTGTCAAACACTTCTTCCCATGCATGTGGGAAAATAGACCAATCAGGTCCAACTGTTTTGTTTGCTTATGCTTCCTGCCTGGGCTACAGGCTTCATTGTGTTGCCGGTGAGCCAAAGTGAAGGACACTTCACAGCGAAAAAATTGCTTAAATTTGTAATATATCTCTCACGAGGCAATGCCTCCCGCCCGACGCCAACGCACAGCTGTACAACAACGCGCAGAGAATGCAAATCAGCCATCGGTAAACGATCTTCGACAACAATGTCTAGAAAAAGGTTTATCTGACCATGGTCGTCGAAATACGCTGGTCGCGAGACTGCAACAACATGCTTCAACGTCGTCGACGAACAATACCGCCACAGAAGCAGCGACAATTGTTGATATTGCGAACAACAGCGAGCAAACACCACTCGTCGAGCGAAGATCTGTGTCACACGAAAGCTCAAACGAAAACCCTCTGCTGAACGACGCTCAGTTGGCCCAAATCCAATCAATCGTCGCGAAGACGGTCGAACAATCGGTGAACGATATCGCAACAAACGCCGCTCGTGCTGCAGTACAAGCCATGGCAACTGCGCCTTCGTCAGCGCCTACGAATGAGCCACAACAAACCACGGGCACGGAGCTTTGCCCAGTGTTGATAAACCACACCACGCCAATCTCGACGCCAAGGTTCCAAACGTTCGAGCCCGAAGCGCCACATTCCTCTTCGCAGAGTCTTCCCGCTAGTAATCATCTCCCATACGGACAATCTTTCCACGACCTACCGGCATCGTACGTGAAGAAGATCCAGTCGGGTGAGTTTTTTGAGCTCTCAAAACTTTTGCCAAAAAATTTATGCAATACGGTAGATGAACAGCCCGTTGTGCCAATTGATGGTTCGATCCCGCCGATGGCGAATGTTTCATCTTTCTTTTCCAAAATCAGGTGCAACAAGTATTAATGCATCAATTCCAAAGGAAGATTTTAGTCTCCATTATGTGACAATTGACAATGCGATTGAAGGTATTAAGCGTTTCGGCCACGGCTGTTTTCTGGCTAAAACTGACATTGAATCCGCCTTTCGTCTCATTCCCGTGCACCCGGACAACTATGAGCTTCTTGGTATGTATTGGGAGGGGAAATACTATTATGACAAAGTTTTACCTTTCGGCCTACGAAGTGCTCCATATCTGTTCAACCAACTTTCTGATGCTATTGAATGGATCTTACAAAATAAGTGCATGATTTCATTTGTATGTCATATTTTGGATGATTTTCTTATCATGGAGCCACCATCCCAACTGCCCCCACACTATAGCACTTGCCAACAAAGTCTAACTGCCATGATGCTTACATTTAAGAACCTTAACATCCCATTAGCCCCGGGCAAGACACAAGGTCCTGCAACTGTGTTAGAGTTTATGGGCATTATCCTGGACAGCGTTCGAATGGAAGCACGGCTGCCGGATGACAAAATTGAACGCCTCCGAGCAGTTTTCAACACATTCCAAAAAAGGCGGTCATGTACTTTGAAAGAACTTCAGTCACTTATAGGTACCTTAAATTTTGCATGCAAGGTTATCCCACCGGGTCGCCCTTATTTACAAAGAATGATTGAATTGACAAGAAACATAAGACAGCCCCACCATCACATAAAGCTTAGTGCAGGCTTTTTTAAGGATCTCGAGATGTGGAAACAGTTTATCGTTAACTGGAATGGTGCCAGTTTTTTCTTGTCTTCTTCATGGGAAAACTCTGAATGCCTTCAGCTCCACACTGATGCATCGGGGGTGTTGGGCTACGGGGGGATTTTCGGGGGGAAATGGTTTCAAGGAAAATGGGAACCTCATCAACAATTAGGACAGCCCGAGATTAGTATTGCTTGGCAAGAATTGTTTGCCATAGTAGTTGCATGTCACATATGGGGGGAAGCCCTTCAAAACAGAAGGATAATCCTGAACTGTGATAATGAATCAGTTGTCAACATTATTAATTCCAAACGATCGCGAATTTCCCGGGTAATGGATCTTCTCCGTCATCTCACACTGTTGACCTTAAAGTACAATATATACCTTCGGGCCAAACACATACCGGAAAAGTATAATGAGATTGCTGATTCCCTTTCTCGTTTCCAGTTTCAAAGGTTTCGACTCCTAATGCCTCAAGCAGATGTCAACCCTCAAAAAATTCCAGTCCTTCTGTTGAAAATCTAAAGAATGACATAGAATATTATATTGATTTGTCTGTGGCCGCCTCAACCAAACAGACATACAGCGCTGGTGAGAAACGGTTTATTGCTTTTGTAAAATTATATCGACCCCATGAAGGAAAGCACTTTCTACCAGCAAGTAAAGAAACACTCGTGCAATTTTCAGCCTATTTAGCCAAAACCATCAAACACACATCTATAAAAAACTATCTTGCAGCGGTTCGTCATTTTCACATACGAAATGGTTTTCCGTTGGATTGTCAAAAGATGTCACGTCTCCAGCTGGTTCTTCGGGGTATAAAACGTTCCCAAGGCGATGAGAAAAGAGTGCGCCTTCCAATAACAATCCATCATTTAAAACTTTTTCACATGATGCTGGTAATACCTGTCACAACACATTTCGACTCAATTATGGTTTGGGCTGCCATAACATTGGCATTTTTTTGCTTTCTGCGGCTTGGAGAGTTAACTTGTAACTCAAAATTCAATTCAGATTCGCACCTCATGCCTGAAGACGTTGTTTTTTCCAACGACCTACAACCAACCACTGCTATGTCCATACGGATAAAAGAATCCAAAACTGACCCCTTTCGGGTGGGACATACCATAAGTATTGGAGGAACACACACACCTCTCTGCCCAGTGTTGGCCATGAAACAGTATTTAGCCAGAAGGCAGCCAAAAGCAGGGCCTCTGTTTGTAAATTCTGCGGGTAAACCACTTACAAAACAGGCCCTAACACTTGAAACAAAAAAATTACTCAGTCAAGCCGGATTCAACGCTTCAAACTTTGCCGGTCATAGCTACAGAATCGGTGCTGCAACTACGGCAGCCACAGCGAAATTACCTTCCTGGCTCATAAAAACTTTGGGTCGGTGGTCCTCAGACTGTTATGAACGATATATACAACTTCCTTCGTCAACACTGTTGAATGTCTCAGCCACACTCGCCAATATTTAAAATTTATCTCAAAAAATTTCAGGGGGAGGGAGTTTGTCTATGGGGAATGTGCATGCTGCTCATTTGTGGGGATGGAGTGCTCCCATAGGTCACCCTCATCCCATAGACTCACAAATCGATGTACCATACATTAAAAATGTTAGATTGAAGTATATCATGCCCAACATGGGGACCCAGACCCCCTGAGGGCATTAATTGCATTAGAGTCCAACATGGGGACCCAAACCCCCTGAGGACCGCCCAACATGGGGACCCAAACCCCCTGAGGACCGCCCAACATGGGGACCCAAACCCCCTGAGGGCAGTAATTACACTAGAGTCCAACATGGGGACCCAAACCCCCTGAGGATTGCCCAACATGGGGACCAAAACCCCCTGAGGGCATTAATTACACTAGAGTCCAACATGGGGACCCAGACCCCCTGAGGACAGCCCAATATGGGGACCCAGACCCCCCGAGGGCATTAATTAGAGTAACTGTGAGTCTGTGGGGTGACACTTTGACCAGTTGAAAGTATATATTCGGAGCATTTCTCCCCAACAACCCTTCTCCCACAACATTGTGTGTGCTTTACTGTCTCATATATAGCTCTCTTAAATATTA